TTTTTTTGTCTTTTTCCTTTTTATCGGTACCAGGGATTGAACTCACGACTGCCTGTTTGCAAGGCAGGCACTTATGCCGCTGAACTAAATCCCCAGCCGAGCCTTACTTTCTAAATCAATATAATCTGGGCTGGAGATGTAGCTCAGCAGCATAAGCACCTGCCTGGCAAGCTCAACATTGAGTTTGATCCTCACCCACCCCATACCCCACCCCACCCAGTACGAAAAAAATAAATCTTGTTTTCTGGGGGTTTTTTTTGACTGAGAATTCAACCCAAGATTTTTCCCATGAGCTACATCCCATAGCCCTCCCCCCATACCCCCCCCCCTAGCCTTTTTTGAAACACTTTAAAATTTGAGACATGGTCTTACTAAATCTCAGTTGCCCAGGCTGGGCTAAAAATTGATTCTCCTGCCTCAGCCTCCCAAAGTGCTAGGATTACAGGTGTGAACCACCATTTCCAACTTCCACTAAGTTTTGTCATTTATACACAACTCATGCTTCTATTTAGACCAGAGATGTTTTTGTCTCTACCAGTATTTTCCTTTTTTTAAATGTAAGAATTAAAATGGGGAAAGCTGGGCATAGTGGCACACAACTGGGATTGTAGCACTCAAGAGGCTGAGGCAAGAGGATCATCCCTAGGGGGCTGGGGATTTAGCTCAGAGGCAAAAGCGCCTGCCTTGCAAGCAGGCAGTCGTGAGTTCGATCCCCAGTACCGGTAAAAAGGAAAAAGACAAAAAAAAAAAAAAAAAAGAGGATCATACCAAGTATGAGGCTAGCCTAAACTGCACAGGGAAACCTTATCTCAAAAAATAATAGCAGTGGGCTGGGAATTTAACTCAGTGGCATAAGCACCTGCCTTGCAAGTGTGTGGTCATGAGTTCAATCCCCGTTACTGATAAAAAAGAAAAAGTAATGGTAGAGAAAAAATAATAGTAGTAAAAAAATGGGAGAAAATGAAAATACATCACATTAACAGACTAAATATGTGAGAAGAAAGGCAGAGAGAGATGACGTTGTTTTTTGGGTTTTTTGTTCTTTTTGAGACAGGGTCTTACTATGTGGTTCAGGCTGGCCTTGAACTCACTTTGTAATCTAGGCTGGTCTCAAACTTGCAATGATCCTCCTGCCTCAGCCTTCCTAATGCTGAGATTACAGAAGTATGTAACCATGCCTGTTTTATTTTTTATTTTTTTAAATTTTTAATTTTTGGGGGCTGGGGATTTAGCTCAGTGATGTAAGTGCCTGCCTGGCAAGTGTGAGGTCATGAGTTCAATCCCCAGTACCATCGAACTCATGACTAGGTGCTTGCAAGGGAGGCGCTTATGCTAATGAGCTAAGTCCCCAACCCTGTCTTATTTTTTAAAAACTGACATCTCTACCCTAACCCGTATGTACAGATTGATTCTCAACTTCATGCTTCTGTGCATATTTGTTTATACGTCATGTTTTAAGGTCCAATGTTGTTTTTTCTTTTCAATACTGGGGACTGAATCCAGGTCCTTTGGCACTGAGCTACATCCCTAGCTTTCAAAAAGTGTTTTTAAATTGTGGGACAGGGTCTAAATTGCCCATGCTGAATTTTAAAACTTGTGATCTTCTTGCTTCATCCCCCACCCCCAGACTGCTAGGATTATAGGTGGCCTCTACCACCATGCCGGCTTCTGAAGCTTTGATCATCCACCTTTTAAAATTTATTTATTTAGGTGCTAGGGACTGAACTTATGACCTCCATTATGGCTTGTGTCTAGATGTCCCTCCACAGACTCATGCAGTCACAGGTGGAGCTTTTTCAAAGGTGATCGATTTATGATACAATGTTAGGATTAAGGGTGCTAGGGTTAAATGTGAGTGATTACTAATGAATACACTGATTCATTTGGTACCATCCTGATCCTGGTGGTCCAGAAGAAGGGACAGAATAAAGCTGTTAACGTCCCTCAGTTGCTTTGCTACCTCCTGCTCACTATGAACTATTTCTTCTTCGCAATGTTGTCTGCCAGGCCACCCCGGATTGAAAACAGTTGACTTATGGACTAAAACCTCTACAAACTAGGAGCCAAATAAACCTTTCCTCTCTTAACTTTGTCATTTTGGTATTTTTGTCTCAGCAATGAGAAAAGTAACTAAGGTAATCTTGTATGAGAACCTGCCCTATGACTGATTCACATTTCCAACTCACTGATTTTTTCCTATCATTTTGTAGTGTTTTGTTTTTTGAGTTCTAGCTGGCCTTGAACTCACTAAGTAGCCCAGGCAGGTCTCAAATTCATGGCAATTCTCCTGCCTCAGTCTTCCTAGTGCTGGTATTACAAGTGTTTATAGGTGTGTGTCACCATGCCTGGCATTTTTTTTTTGTACCAGGGATTGAATTCACGACCTTACAGGTGCTATGCCACTCAGCTATCTCTCTGGCCCCGTCACTAGATTGTAAGCTTTCACATTTATGTTTGCTTTCTCATTCTGTAGACCCATTATACATAAATTCTCCTACAAACTCCCCAAAACAGGGGTGTTGGATTACATAACTACAGTATAATACATTTAAGATTTAAACCATGGCCGGGGATTTAGCTCAGTGGCGTAAGCAACTCCCTGGCAAGGTCAAGACGATGAGTTTGATCCTTGGTAAAAAAAAAAAAAAAAAAAAAAAAATGCACTTAACATACCTAACCTGCAGCTCATTAGTTAGCAGTACAGCACTGTACAGTGTAGTGTCAGCTGTTCCCTGCATGACTGGATGGCCGCCAGCCAGCTTCTCCAGTTCAGGCAGTGCATGCCATCAGGCCAGGAAAAATCAAAACCCATGTCACGGGGGCTGGGGATTTAGCTCAGCGGCGTAAGTGCTGCCTTACAAGCAGGCAGTCATGAGTTCGATCCCTGGTACCGATAAAAACCAAAAAAAGTTCGATCCCTGGTGCCGATAAAAACAAAAAGACCAAAAAAAAAAAAAAAAAAAAAAAAAAAAAAACCTCAAAAGGCTAGCTGTGATGGAATATGCCTACAATCAAAGCAAAGATGATCACAAATTTCAGCCAAGTCTGGGAATATAGTAACTAATGACACTCAAAAAGTAGGCCAGGTGTGGTGACACAAGCCTGTAATTGCAAACTCTGGAGGCTGAGGCAGGAAGATCAACAGCTTGAGGCCAGCCTGGGTTACATAGTGAGTTCAAGGTCAGCCTGAACTATATAGCAATGCTATCTGCAAAAAAAAAAAAGAAAAGAAAAAGAATTCTGGCCTGACAGGATGTTGTATACCGGCAGTCTCAGCTACTGATGGAACAGGAGGAAAAAACTCTTGACTCTGACACATAACTGCTTTGGGAGTGCACTTGTACAACAGATCTCAAGATAAAGCTGCTGCCTTCAGGAAGTGAGGCTCCACAGCCACAAAGGACATTTTGCTAGCACTGATGGGGAAAGGTACAGAAGCCTGTGTATGCTTAGCAACAATGCACTCAGGACTGACAACCAGTATGCAAAGATCACATTTGCACATTTCCATGGTGATTCAGCTCCCTTTCAGGGCAGCTGAAACCACAAGCCTGATAAGATTTTCAAAATTGCTTTGCTTATTCTCACTTTTTGTGTGTGTGGTAGTGGGGGTTGAATGCAGGAAGCTCCAAACTGCATCCCCAATCTCTATTAAACCAGGGTCATACTATGTTGCCTCAAATTTGCAACCCTTCTGGACTAGCTGGAATTATTTGTGTGCACTACTGTATCGACTGTGCATCTCAGCTCCTCTTCCAGAGACAGGGAAAAGCGCTGAAACACTAGTATGAACTTCATCAAAACCTTTTTTGATATTCTAGGGTCTTCATCACATAGAATAACGCTGTAGTGAACATCCTTCCTGCAATATACCTATATTGGGACTCAGTAAAAAATCAGGACAGAGATTTTATTTATAATTAGAGCTAAAGTAGGATTCCAAGTTTGATGCCAGCCTGAGCAAATAAGTGACCCTGTCTCAAAATAAAAAAGGCTTGGGGTCTTTGTGGGGTAGTGCTGGTAATCCCAGCACTTAAGAGACTAAGGAAAGACAATCTCGAATCCAAAGTTTAGCCTGTGTTTGCAGTGTCATTGTTGGAATATCCACTCTACAAGCTTTAATTTTGTGACTTGAACAATTATTTCTAAGATGGCAATACGTAATCCATTAACTAATGATTTCCTACTGTTCATTTTTTTCTTCTGTAAACCTGTATAACTTGTACCCTTTCACTGTTTTTTCTTTTCTACTTAAATAAAAAAAAAAAAAACTAGCAAACAAGATCGCTGCGATAAAAGGTAAAGAAAAAAAAAAAAAAAAAAAAAAAAACAAAGCTAGCCTGGACAAGGTCCTATCTTAAAAAAAAAAAGAACCCAGGAATGTAGATGAGTGGTTAAGCAACCTAAATTCTTAACCCCAGTATCACAAAGGAAAAAAAGCACAGGCATAACTCCAGAAGTGCAATATATTTACTGGTGGCTCACGCCTGTAATTCCAGCACTCGGGAGGCTGAGGCAGGAGGATCGTTGTGAGTTCAAGACCAGCCTGGATTACAAAGTGAGCTCAAGGCCAGCCTGAACTGCATAGTGAGATCCCGTCTCAAAAAAGACCAAAAAACCCCCCAATACCTCTATGCTAGGCGCATACCTGTAATCCCAGTCTGCAAGGCTGAGGCAGAAAGATCACTATTAATTTCAAGGCCAGCACATTTTTGTCTTTTTCGTTTTTATCGGTACCAGGGATCGAACTCATGACAGTACATTTGCAAGGAAGGTGCTTATGCCGCTGAGCTAAATCCCCAGCCCCCAAGGCCAGCACATTTCAGTATTTTAAGACAACAAAACCCAACACCTCTAATTTAAAGAAGAGCTATCCTTTGTTCTAAGGCAAATCAAGTTTTGTGAAGTTTTTGCTTTTAATTTACCTACACACTTTTGCTCAGTTGTAACTTCCCTAAAGTGGAAAGCAAGTGGTAAGGAGGAAAGACCCATTTCACACCTTAATTTGACAAGTTTATTTTTTCTCAGAAAGAACAGGAAGTTAGGGATAGATACTACATTGTACATCTCATTAACCTGTAGTTGGTCCTAATCTTTCCTGGCACAGCTGTGAAAACCAGCTGTTTAACCACAACCAAGGTGTCTACCCCTCCCCCCACAGAATGTATACCACCACCATTAGAGAACTGCATTGTTTTTCCCTGAGAGAAGCATAAGACAAAGAGAAGTCACTGAGAGCTATCAAAGCAGCCCTTCCTTTTCCATTTTGGAAGATTCTGTCTGACCCATGCAGCCAGTCAGCATTCGTAAGAACACATGCCTCTTCCTGTGAATTAGCTTCGGTTCCCTTCCTTCCTGCACACATCCTTCCCCCAAGCTCTTGGGCTCTCTAAGCCCTCACTGTCCTGGACCCAAAACACCAATGAGACCCTTCGTACACCTCAGCTTCACACCCAGTCAGCTGGGAAGTGAGGCTCCTGAACACAAATTCACACTTATCTTCACGACTTGCCATGGGGAGAGGTTTTTAAGTCACCTTAACCAGACTGTAAGATTAATTAAAAACTACATAAAGTGCTTTTAGGTTCTTGACATGATATAAATAAGTGGCTTGTGATCAAGGATGATAAATACACAGGTAAAAATAGCTCTAGCAAGATGACTTTATGGCTCCAAGGAGGAGAGGCAGGGCAATTTTTCCCTGTTACATTCTTTGTCTTTTATTCACACCTATTTTTATTTGGAGTGCAGAGTAAAGGTCGCCTTGAGATTGAAGTTTTCAAATAACTAGCTGCAACGCAACTTTGTTCATTTTACCAGTAGCTTTCATGTAACTCTTTTAGGTTTAACACAGCCCACCTTTTTCTAGAAATTTAAGTGAGCATATTCAAATGCAAATATTTTGAAGGGATGTAATCTCTGAAATTTCCAAAGAGGATTTTTGAAATGTTCCTCCCAAAGACTGGGTAAATCTACTGCAAGGATACCAAGGAAGAGAAAGTTCCTCCCGTCTCTGGGGCTGTACTATTGCAATACTTGCAGCGTTCCTACCTCCTAAAATACAAAGTCCACGAATTATGAAGGGATAAAGTGGGGGGGGGGGGGAAACGACACACTAAGTTCCCAGCAGAGTGCATAGTGCTAAAAACTAAAAGGGCAACTGAAGAGTTCAAAGACGGACAGACTAATGATGTAGAAATGGATGTTAAGATCTGTACAGGGAAGAGAACTAGCAGCATGTATTACAAAGGACAGGAAATACAGTAAATTCAGTAGATCAGGCCGTAAGACCCAGAGATGCCAATGCAAAAACTCAAAACAAAGCTTGGGAATCATCAATAGAAAAGAAACTTGTTAAGTATTTCTTTTATTTGCGTACTAGGCTTAAACCTGTGTTTAACAAGCAAGCCGAGTATTAGCACCATTAGAATCTGGCCTGATTTTGCAAGCCATCATTTTACAAATTAAGTAAACAAGGAATCAAATGTCTCTCACACACAATGCTCACTTGGAACAGCTGAAAATTTTTCAGTGAAAGGTTTAAAGATGAGCTCATGAACTCAGTTTTAAGTTGCACCAGCTAAATTAGGCCAAAGTTAAGAACTTAAAAGAAGTTGTCTAATCAGAGCCCATTATTTTTAAGACATCAGTAGACCCTCCCCCAGGACCCATTTAAGGAATATTTACCAAAATCAGACTGGAAAATTAAACCCTGCATAGTTATGGATCAGATTTGTTCCAATACAACCAGTTTGCATTACATGTAACATTAGTTCTGTATAAACTCTAGAACTGACCAGGAGTAAGTTCTGAATAAAAAAGCTGTAAGAAATAGATTCCTAACTACAGAAATTGCAAATTTCAAAAGGTTATGAAAAAAAAAACTACTGTAAATTTGATATACATTATGTCCAAATACTTTCTGTAAAAATATATAACTTTTACAGACAAATGCAAGTTGCTTTTGTTTTAAAAATTGAGACTATTTCATATTTCTGTTGTTGGTCTACTCAAGAAATACACAGGAAAAGTGAATTATAGAGGAAAAGCTACCCTTCACATGCTGTTCTGCAGTACTGAGGCCTATGGTCAGAGTTCAGTTCCTTGTAGCTTAAATCCATTTTATACACGTCATTGTTAGTGCTTCTCTATTAACACTAGACAACTGATGATTTGCTGGGCAAATTTAATGACTTCTATGACTAGCTGGCTATTGGCCACTCCTCTGGTTGTACACAAAGAAATCAAGTCTTTCCACCACCCTATCGTCTTCACTAAATCTGGAAGTCTTTCAAGGTCTCGCAGTTTGCTTGTTGCTGAGACTGCACTTTGCTTCTTTCAGACTGTGACTCTTGAAGGGGACTACTTTTCCCATTACTGGCAGCCATAATTTTCTTGCTTTCTGGCCTCTTTGAAGTTGCTGCTTGGTCAGTTTCAAGCCCACCAGCTTCATAAATACTTTGATTTCACAGAAGTATATTGTTTTGGTGCCTGGGGTTGTTTAACAGTCAACTATTGCACTTACAAGGCTATCTTATTAGATATGCCAAACCAGCCCCTACTCCAGCAACACCTGCAAAAGCCAGCAGCACATTTCTGATGCCGCCTTCTAGATCCTCTATATGGAAGAACTCCACAAACCCATCCTAGAAAACAAAAAAGAGAAGCACATTTTCAAGTACGGGTTTTGTTGTCTTAATAACACTATGTAACAGAAATGGTGAATTCACTAAGGTATTCCCCAAAACAATAATAAAATACACTTCTGACATTCCTCAGTAAGTGGACACCCATAGGATTAAAACCGTTTCAGCCAGGCATGGTGGCACATGCCTGTAATCCCAGCCTTGGGAGGCTGAGGCAGGAGGATTCTTGCAAGTTCAAGACCGGCCTGGGCTACAAAGTGAGTTCAAGGCCAGCTGGAACTGCATAGGGAGACCCTGTCTAAAAAAAAAGCCACCTCCCAACAAAGGAAAGGTAGTTTCACTGAAATACTTCATCATATTAACATAATCTAAAAGAAACCCCATTAAGTACAAACCAAAAAATCTTTTTTTTTTTAGTACTGGGGATTGAACTCATGACCTAGTGCTTGCCAGGCAGATGGTTATGCCACTGAGCTAAATCCCCAGCTCCCAAACCAAAAACTGTTTATTACCCTCAAACTTCTACTAACCTGATGATACCCCAGCTATACAGACTAGTATTTCTCAGTGTAGTCAGATCCATTCTGCTGTAGTTATCTAGGTGTTAACGCTTACAACATAGACTCCACTCCACATATATATACATAATTGAGGAATCCCTTAGAAGTATCTTTATATATAGTTACCATCCCGAGGTGACTCTTATTTCCTCACGGTTTGAATCCACAGGTGTAAGGTTATCCCACTGAATTACAAGAATTACCTACAGAAAACCCGGGCTTTTGATACATGCCACTTGCCTATGAAACCATCGCTCAACAAACTGCAACACCAAGGTCTGTAGTTAAGGACCTAGAAACTGGGTCAAGTGTCACAAAACTTTCAGACACTTCCATCTTTCCCATAAACTGCATTCCATTTCCAGCGCCAAGACCCACTTCATCCATAAGCCGAACTTACCCAGCCTCTTTGTTTGACTAGCCAGTCCCTTTTTGAGTGCACCAGAGCATCTGTGATACTTTCCGCTAATGGTTCGATGCAGCTTTCTTGGTTTATGCTCTTCAAGTGTTTGGCCACAAAGGCACCAAAAGAAATGAGAGTCACAATCCTGCCCCAGTTTGTTACGCCGTCACTGAAAACAAGGGCAACCACTCGCGACAAGGATTTGACATCGTCTTCGTTTTTGATGTCCAGTTTCCGAAGCATTCCTAAGGAAGAAACGCACTCACGTCCTCAAGGCTCCATTGTCTAAATCCGGGCACGACCCACCTGGCTATCCACGGCGTGGGAAGTCCCTGGCTATCTGGGGGTTCTGGGGAACTTGGACCGATCCCACTTGAAAACCCACATCCCTCCCTTTCCGGTTTTGGCGCAGAGCTGCCATTTCCAAAAGAATCAGGCACGACAGGCGGAAACAATGACTCACACCGAGCCCGGAGCCGCGCGGCGGGTCCCGCCCGAGCCCCTTACCTTGGAAGGCGGTCTGGTGGTTGCGCTGCACGCCGTCCCCGACCCGCCGCAGGGTCTCCAGTGCCTTCCTGCTGGTGGGCCCCACCCCGCCCAGCGGCTTCGAGTCCTTGGCGCCCGCGGCCTGCTCCCGCAGGTACCGCGAGATGATCTCCAGCGACTGTCGGTACAGCGCGTCCTCCTCCTCCTCCTCCTCCGCCGGGGGCGGCGTCGAGGGCAGCGAACCGTCGGCGCTGGGGCTCTTCCCGGCCTCCCCCACCAGCCCCAGCAAGGGCAGCACGGCCGGCCGCTTCCCGAGGGGCTCCGGCTCGTACCCGTCCAGCTCCTCCTCAGGCGACATGGCGCCCACGGCAGGGGCTTCCAGGAGCTCAGGCCGGGACGCGAAGAGGGTGGGCGCGAAAAGCAGCCGCGGCCCGGGGGTCGCGCTGGCGTCGGGGACCTCGGCGCCGATGGGAGCCGGCCGCGCGCCCCTCCGGGCGTCCTGCGCCCGGGCGGCCCTGGGGCTCCCGCCCGGGCCTCCGCCGGCCTCCGCGCTCGCCTCCCCTCCCCCCGCCTCCCGCCGGGCCGCGGCCTCCTTCTCGGCAGTCAGAAGCCGCCCTGCCGGAGAGGTGGCGCTGCCGCTGCCGGCGGCCAGCCCGGCGCCTCCGCAGTACAGATTCAGGCCGATTACCGCCTTTCTTTTTAAGCCAAACATCTCGGAGGCCGCCGCCGTCGCCGCCACCGCCACCGCCACCGCCACCGGGCTGGGGAACACCGGGAGGCCCAGAACGCTCACTGGAAGGAAGCGGAAATAGCGAGTGGGAGAGGGTTTTCTAGGTCTCGGCCTGTGCGGGGGCGTGAGACGATTTGAAAAAAAAAAAAGCAGTTTCCTTAAAAGGGTGAAGAGCGGAAGTTCCGAGAGCGCTACGCACAGCACCGACGGGGCGGGGCGGCCGACCAGGGCCCTTCCGGCCGCGGGCGTGGTTACGTAACCGTCGCTGCGCTGCTGCGCTCGGCTCGTCTCACCTTGCGCCGCGTCCTCGGGGCGGCGGCTGCGCCCGGTTTCCGCGCAGTTTTCCTGCGTCCTGAGCTCCGAGCCTTCAGTAGTTTTCGTCAAAAGTGTTGCGTTCTGTGTTTTAGAAATAACCATTGCTAACTATTGAATCAGCCAGGGGTGGAGGAAGGGAAGTTGCATAATGACTAGGCTTAGATGATTGGGTAGGTAAAAGGGACCGGCCGTCTAGGCTAACCGTGTCTGGATTGGCAACACTAAGTGGACTGTCTTTAAGAACCATCAATATTTAAAGGAGCTAAGCGAAATTGTTCATAGCTGCCTGTTTTTGTGGTACTGACAATTGAACCCAAAGGAGCCTAGAGCCATGTGCTCAGCCCTCCACCCTGTCCTCTGAGTTTTATTGGAAGTGGATCTCAGGGCCTTCCCAGTGACAGGTTTTTTTATTTTTTATTTTGAGACAGCCTCCAAATTCCGCAAGCAGAAGTCGAATTTGTGATCGACCTCTATCTCATCCTGCCAGAGTGCTGAGATTACAGAGATGCACCACCGCTGCCACCACCACCATCTTCATCATCATTTTAACTCAGGATCTTGGTAGATTGCCCAAGCGGGACGAAACTCTGACCTCCTCAGCCTTCCGTTGTACTGGGATACAGGCATATTTCACCTTACCCCCTCTTTATTGAGGCAGGATCTTGATAAATTGTCCAGGCTAGCCTGGGATTAGTGATCCTCTGGCCTCAGCCTTCCAAAGTAGCTGGGATTACAAGTGGGTCTCCGTATGTCCCACTCCATCCCCCATCTCAATACTCGTCTCCAGTACTGTAAATATTGAGTTATTGTTACGGTCTGTACCGAGTTCCTGATTTCATAACATAAAGGAATGAAGTAGCAAACCAAACGAGGAGGTTAGAGGTTTTGTTTGTTTTTTTAACAGTAGGAAGAAATTATTGAGAGAAAGATACCTTCCATCTTAGAGGGCAGAAGGGGGCCTGTAATGTGGGTTGCTGTGAGGTTAGAGTTTTACTTGAGATAATACTAGTTCTTGGATTTCCTGGAGGGAATCCCAAATGCCCTCTTCTCCCAGCTCAAGCTAATTATGGATAAGCAGAGCACAGGAATTTCCCAATTGTCAGTGGCCAACTGTCAACAGCTGGCTCTATGGATTTAAAATGACCAGCTGAAACTCAGGTTCTAACCCAGTTCTTCAGCATGCAGGGGTGTTTGTTTGTTTGTTTTTTTGGTACCCTCCTTGCAAAGCAGGGGCTTATGCTTGCTGAGCTAAATCCCCAGCCCCAGCATTCAGTAAAGCAAACTGGCATTTTAGAGGGGTTGGGGGGAATCTTTTTATTTTACATTTTAAATTTCTCAGAACTGAGGAGTTTAATGGGGAGTGGCTACACTTCCCTTTAGCAGCAGGGTAGGTCTGCATTTCATATTGCCTGCGGAAGTTCATTCTTGTTCCAGAGTCCTAGTTCACTGTCCATTTATCAATGTCTGGTCACCTGACTCTACCTCAGGTCCTTTCCCTAGCTAACTACCTTAGAAGCTAACTAAATATTCTTTACACCTCTTCTGAGAATGTTGACACATGTATTTTTGTATTGATAATAACTTACTTTTGATTTTAGGGGTAAATCCCTAAGAGTAAGAACCCTGCTGGGCATGGTGGCCCATGCCTGTAATCCCAGCAGTCAGTAGACTGAGGCAAGAGAATTGCCATGATTTGAAGCTAGCCCTGGCTGTTCAAGACCAGCCTGAACTGGATAGCAAAACCCTGTCTCAAAAAAAAAAAAAAAGTGGGGAGCAGGGGATAAGGACCCTGCTATATGCCATGTGTGGCATTATGTAGCAATATGTGAATCAACTTTTAGCTATTATAAAAATAATAGCCAAAATTTGGAAATGAGGTATGTGAAGACAAACAGGAAAGAAAAGCTAAGTTCCTATTCCTCAAAATATATGATGGCTTAATAAAGAAGATAATCATGCCACATGATTATGTGTTAGAGCAGGATATAGACTCATGGAGATTTCCAGTATGTGTTAAGAAGGGGAGCATTCGTGTTTGTAATGAGGAAGAAATGTTTGTATTTTAGGAACTTACAACCTTGCATAACAGTTAACCATACATAATGTGAGATAGAATATATTCTATGTGAAGCATCAACAACTTAATACTGGGTTGAAAGCCAGGCATGGTGGTGCATTTCTGTAATCCCAGCACACTGGGAAGCTAAGGCAGGAGGATTGAAAGTTCAAACACAGCCTGAAAAACTTGGAAAACCTGTCTCCAAGTAAAAAATGGCTGGGGATGTAGCTGAATATGAACTCATGGGTTAAATCACGAATATTTAAAAAAAGAAAGAAAAGAAAAAAAACTGACTTTTCCTTTCACAGGGACTGAAAAAAACCAGGCATGGTGTTGTATGCCTATAATTGCAGCACTTGGGAGGCTGAGGCAGGAGGATTGCTAGTCAGCCAGGGCTACAAAATGAGCTCAAGTGCAGCCTGAACTGCACAGTGAAACCCTGTCTCAAAAAGGCAAAAAAAAAAAAAAAAAAAAAAAAAAAAAAGCAAGGCTGAAAAAAGAAATGTATGTATGTTTCATTTTCTGAATCTGAAATCTCCGTCAGCAATCCTGTTTCAGTTCCTTAGTTCACTTCTCTGTCCTGCGTGACTGTTGCATACCATTCTCTTCTTAAATTTTGAGTATCTCTCCTCCCTTCCTCTGAGCTGATAATTTCATTCACTGAGAAAACTGAAGCAACAGGAAAAGAAAAGAACTTCACTTTCCCACCACCAGTCCTACTACCTTAACTGCTTTGTTCCCATCCCATCTCATGGTTAAAACTGATCAACCTAGGGCTGGGGATTTAGCTCAGCAGCATAAGGGTCTGCCTTGCAAGCAGGCAGTCGTGAGTTCAATCCCTGGGACCGATAAAAAGGAAAAAGAGGAAAAAAAAAAAAGAACTGATCAATCTTCTCTGCTAAGATTGGCCTCTTCATTTTTGCACTGGATTCCATCTCCTTTGCCTATTCAGGTTTTTGCCATTATTCTTTGATATCCCTACAGCATAAATTTGTTCATGTTTGTGATCAGATTCATCAGATATAAACTTAGTATTTTTCTAGCCCAAACTTGATGGTACACACCTATTAAGTCACAAGTTCAAGTCCTATCGTGAAAAGTTAGTAAGACCTTGTTTGAGAATAAAAAGGGCTGGGGTATATCTCAGTGGTCAAGTGCCTGTAGATTTGATTCTCAGTATAGAGAGAGAGGGAGGAAGGGAGGAAGAGAGAGAAAGATGCCCTAAACTGAGCATGGCAGCACAGGCTTGTAATCCCAGTGTTAGGGAGGCTGAGACTGAATCACTGAAAGCTCCAGCCTGGGCTAAATAATGAAAAACATAGACCCTGTCTCAAAAAAACAACAAAAAGAGCCAAGTGTGGTAGCTCACACGCTCAGGAGGCTGAAGCAGGAGGATTACTGCAAATTCAGGGTCAGACTCTCTGGCGGGGGGGGGTGACCTATGGTTGGATGGTGAGAAAAATGGAAAAGATACCCCCCCCCAAAAAAAAGGGAAATGAGAAAAAGACCTGTATTTGCAAAACACTCTGAAGGAAGGATCAACAGATTTGCTACTCAGTGACTATGTGACATAATAAAGGAACCTAGATGGCTTCCAAGATTTCTATAATGGGAGGCTGGGTTATGAATGATGACACTCTTCAGTGAGGCAGGGGATGTCAAGCCCCAAGATTTATGCAAGATGAGGTTATATTTCAACAAATCCATCTCAAGGTGAAAATACACCTAATCTACCAAACCTTAGGGCTGAGTCCAGCTTGCCTTCACGGTGATCAGAATACTTGCTTCAGCACTTGGATAAAATGATCTGACACCAAGCCTATTTATAGTAAAGTGTTGACTCTTGTGTAATGTGTAATTTACTGAGTACTATACTGAAAGTAAAAAGCAGAACACTTGGAAGGGTAGACTATTAACAGCATTGTAACGCTGAAGAACTGCTAAGTGGAACCCTCCGTGTATTTGGAAGACAACATTTGTTGAGGAGAATGATACATATGGAGCCTGAAGCAATGGAACTGGTGTGCCTTTTATCTGGAGATCCTCCTAATGCCTCACGAACTGATTGTGGGCATTTCCAAAGTGGCTGTGTGTAGGCTGTGATACTGAGTAGGGGTGGCGTAACTAGATTAACGCCCTGATTGGTTCTGCAGCATAGATGCTGTGGTAATGGGAAGGCCCCACCTTGGGCGTGGGGAGCACCAACTAATACTGTGTTAGCCTGAATGGAATAAAGGCAAAGGGGAGACTCACTGCTACCACTTTGCTACTCCTTTCTGCCTGCCTTGCCAGGGACTGTTTTCTCCCCTCTGTGCCCTGCTGCCAGGCCACCCTGTCCTGAGGTCAGCTAATATGGACTGCAACCTCTACAAACTAAAATAAACTTTTTCGTTTAACTTTGGGTGTTTTGTGGGGGTCTTTTGTTTTGCTTTTTGAGATAGGGTCTTGCTATGTAATTCAGTTTGGACTTGAACTCACTATGTATCCCAGGCTGGCCTTGAAACTCATAACCCTTCTCCCAAGTCTTTCAAGTCTCTCCTCAGTCTTCCAAGTGCTGGAATCACAGCAAAATTGTTGGTAAATCAATGGGTCCATTTTGGAGACAGAGTCTTGCTATTTAGTTTAGGCTGGTCTTAAACTCACTGTGTGCCCAGGCTGGCCTCAAATGTAGTGATCTCAGATTCCTGAGTACTGGGATTACAGTTGCGTGCCACCACACCCAGCCAATAAATATTTCTTGACTGAACAAATAAAGTTTATCTAGAACTAGGGAGTGGTGAGTTGCTTGTGACCAAAGACCAAAAGACAAAGGTAATTGAGGGTGTGA